ATTTAAAACGTAAATAATCACAAAATCTGAATCTTCATGCTAAATGGTTGTAATTGCATATTTGAAAATAACTTTTAATTCAAAATAACTTTTCTTTATAACATTCTTCTGTATTGTCAAAAATAAAGGTACTTTACTCTTGAGCAAAATTCATAATTTCTGNACAAAAAAAAAGCCCAGTGAACCGCGAACCCTGAGGAAGAGAGCTACATTGCTGAGTAAACATAATTGCAGAATTAGATTCATATAAGGTAAATATCATATTTGGTTAAATCTAACCTGGCGCTCAAGAAATTTCATTTAATTAATTTAAGAAACAAAAACTTTATTATTATGATAATCATACAATAAATATCATTTATTCATTTACTTATTTAACCATCCATATAAATATAATTATTAATTATTATTATATATATATATTTTAGATCACTCAGATCACTATTTACTTTTTAGAAAATTTTATTTTTTACTTAAAACTATGATTACAACTTTCAGTGTTTGACAATAGATTACAGCGTTAAAGACTTAAAACAACTGGGTTTTACTGTGAACTGAACTGACTAAGTTTTTTTAGTTATATTTATAAGTTTTCTTATGCTAACGCAAGTACAAGCATTCTTATAATCTGCTGCTGTTCTTGCGCTTTACATGAGATTGCTTTGTTTCGAGGAAGGTGTTATCTGTGGTGTCATATTGGGTGATATCTAATATTCTTAGATAATTTTCGTATATAACTCCCCCTTTTTAAGAAAAGTTGGTGTTTTTCGCCAACTTTTTAGGGAAAATCCTGCATCTCTTCTTCTTCTGTGCGAAGATGAGGTCTTCTTCGTAGAAGGGTGTTGATTCTCTTCAACATCTCGTTAGGGGTTGTTTCTTCAGATTTCTTGCAGCATTTATTCCTGCATTTCCAGGCGATGTAGATGAATACGAGACCTATCACGGCACCAATGGTAAGGTAGGTCGTCAGGGAAATATGTTTGGTGATGAAGGGTTCATTTATTAATTTATCCAGGTCTCTGGAATATTGCTCGAGTTTGTAGTTGGCTATATCCAAATTTTCTATATTTAGGTGGTCGAACTGAAGAGGTTTTAATTCGGGCAATTGTAGTTTTTCGGGTATATCACTACAACAGTCATATGGTATAAGCACTGGGTGAGAGTTGTCTGTAATGTTCAAAGTATTACGACTTTCTGTTTGCACTTTCGTTATACCGACGAATGCATAACAATCTGGTTGAAGTTTTAACACCGANAGCCGGCGGGGCCCAGCCAGGACAGGAGGAGGCCCCACGAACCGATCCAATCCGGCCGCGTTGGCGGTCCGGAATGACGGGGAAAGGGCCTACCTCTACGAGGCGTCCGGGCCTACAGCGATGAAGTGGGTAAAGAGCGATAATCCCGCTCGACCCTTCTCCATCCGAGGTCATTTTTCCTGCCAAGGATATTGGCGCGCGAGTTAGTTCAGTTAATACAGTAGCAGTAACGCGTTAACACTTCAGACAGTCTACAGCGAGTAATACAACGGCACCAGTTAGATAACAGTCAACAAGTAACGCGTCAACGAGTTAATCTCAGTCAGTTGATATCCAAACCGGTAACAGTTAAATTAAAACTAGTAACATTAAGTCAGAGTCGTATCGCTCTAAAATCAACTTCTACAACTATTAAAACTTAAATCAACATAAACCTACGAAACTACAACCTACAAATTAAGTGCAACGTCTATACATTTTTACAAGCCTAAAATAAAGTTATTCGTATTACTACATACAACGTATTCCTATTCTACAAAAGTGCAACGTCACGCTCTCATTATCATAGCGTCCTTCTTCTGTCTCCTAAACTAAGGAATCAGAGTATTAAAGCCATAAAACAGTGTTTTCATTTTACAGGGTGCCGAAAATTAGTAGGTCAATCCGTTAACCATAGATAGCTGATATGAAAATAATGGGACTTTCATTATGCCACTTTTCATTTTGGAGCCCCATTGAAATTTCGCTAATATTTTTTCTTGTAGAGACACACTTTCAGTACACTTTTGGTAAAAAAAATCAAAGCACGAGCGGAGGTGAGGGGGTTAAAGTGCATTATGACCCCCCCAACTTTTTCATACGCACGCCTATGGTAAAAACATATATTTTCTTAGATAAAGCGGCTTTTATTCTAACTTTTCTTATTCTTGCAAGATTTTGATTTGGAGCCTGGGTTACCAGATATTGTAACTTATTTTAATAAAGTTTAAAATCCGTTTTGTACTATAAATTTTATTTAACATTTAACAACATGAAACAAACTGCATATATTTTATATTACAAACAGAAATTAAATTCGAAAAATTATATTAAATGTTCAACATGAGAACCACCTTCGCGGACGCACATCCTGCATCTCTTTATAAAGGAGAAACGAATATTATGAAAAATATGTGGTTTCACCCTAAATTGCTCGGCCCCTTCTAAAATTCTTAATCTTAAATGTTGTTCATCCACAATTGGAACCATGTAAACAAAATCTTTCATAAACCCCCAGAAACAGAAGTCTAAGGGATTAAGGTCTGGGGATCGAGGTGGCCATTTGACTGGCGCAAGACGTCCCCGGCCGATCCAGCGGTTAGGAAAGATTTGGTTTAAATGGTTCTGAACAATTCGGCCATAATGTGGCGGAGCCCCATCTAGTTGAAACCACATATTTTGCCGAACCGCTAAAGGCAAATCATCAAGTAAGTCTGCAAAAGAGGTTTGCAGAAAATGCAAAAATTCGTCGGCATTCAAACGGGGGGGTAAAAAAAACGGTCCCAAAAGAAAATTATCAATTATTCCTGCCCATACGTTTACTTTAAAACTTACTTGATGATGTGCCTCTACAATGAATTTCGGATTTTCAGCAGCCCATGTATGAGTATTATGAATATTCGTTACTCCGTTACGAGTAAACGTGGCCTCATCGGAAAATAAAATAAATTTACTAAAATTAATATTATCATTATTTTCTTGGCATATCCAATTACAGAAAGTGACTCTTGCTTCTGAATCTAAAGGTAGAAGTGCCTGCACTTTTTGTACATGATATGGGTACAGTAATTGCTGTTTGAAGACACGTCGCACATCATCTGACTTAATATTATTGTTGCCACCATTATTAATTTGATTAGCTAGTATCCTCGTACTTATACTCGGAGTTTCTTCGACAATTTGCAAGATTTGCTCCTCTTCGTTTGGACGTAATTTGAGTTGCCGTCCACATTGGCCCATCCTCCTATGCTTAAAGTTGCCAGATTCTCTCAGACGGTTGACTAAGCTTAAGAAAAATCTCCTTTTTGGATGGTGCCTGGTTGGAAATTTGTCCGCATAACGCCTAGCAGCTAAACTAGCATTAGAGTTACATTTTCCTAAAAGCAAGAGAAATTAAATTGTTTAGGTTCGAGATTACAATTAACACTTATTAAGAAAAAATCCTATTCCTTTTAATAAGTACTTACCCATTATTAAAATCATATCGGTCATTTCAGAAAATGATAGCAAACCTTCTCTGTTCGCCATTTCTTATTGAACACTTCAATTAAAAAATGTCTAAACAACGTTTTTTCTATTTAACTTATAAATTATTTTGACAACCAAATGTACCTAACTATCTGACTTTGTTTTCAAAGCCTACATAGAACTTATTACTTGAAACGTAAAATTAGACAATTAAAACATTTTTTAAGTACTGAAAGTCTATTGCAAATTTACCTTAAAAAATTAGTTGGAAATATTTAAGAATATTTTTCTTGTGGCATGCTTCATTGTTTAAACGAATTGTACCAGGCGATCATTTATAATGTCCCACCCCTTTAACTTTTTTATTTGATGTACTATAAAAAAATAAAAACAGGACCGTATAGGATATAAAAAATACTTTTTTATGTATACAAAAGAAAGAAAAAAAGAAGAAATTATACCACACTCATTATCAATACCGTTACCAAAACATTGATTTTTTCGTCTTATTTCTCTTGTAACAGCACAAGAACAATCATTACTTTTTATAAAATAAGAAAGTAATGTGTTTTCCTCTCGGAATATAGCCCAATAACATCGAATTAAAATTAATTTTGGATACACTAGTTACCAAATCCATACTATCCGTCCAAATAAGTTACAATATCTGGTAACCCAGGCTCCAAATCAAAATCTTGCAAGAATAAGAAAAGTTAGAATAAAAGCCGCTTTATCTAAGAAATATGTTTTTACCATAGGCGTGCGTATGAAAAAGTTGGGGGGGTCATAATGCATTTTAACCCCCTCACCTCCGCTCGTGCTTTGATTTTTTTTACCAAAAGTATACTGAAAGTGTGTCTCTACAAGAAAAAAATATTAGCGAAAATTCAAACAAATATCTCTAATTCTACCGGAGTTATCGACAAATTTCGTTTTTGAAATTTACATTTTGATACCCTGTATTTCAAAAATGTGTCTCCTAAATGAAAAGTGGCATAATGAAAGTCCCATTATTTTCATATCAGCTATCTATGGTTAACGGATTGACCTACTAATTTTCGGCACCCTGTATAATCCCAATTATCCTTTCCTAAGTGAAGTTAAGTACAAAACTTGGATTACACGAAAACTTGCTGTACTACAAGTCAACCCAGTTCAACCAGAAAGCAGAGGTCAACCTACAAGATAAGCCGACGCAAGGTAAGTGACTTTACTTGTCAGTCGTATTTGTTAATTTTGTATTTTCATATTTTGTGTCCCACGAATCTCTACTTTTGTTCTAAGCTCACACTATTTTGATATCCAAGATATCATGGCGCCCTGGCATTTATAATCGCTCCCTGACGTTTAAGAATCATTCATAAACATTTAAATTATTATCTTTAAACAAGTTTCATTTATCTTCTTCATATTTACAGTAATATTTTGAGTTTCACGTAACTTTAACTTTAACTTACATTTGTTGACTTAAATATACTTTTTTAACAAAGAATAGCTAGAATACGTGTGTTTAATCATTTTCCTTTTACTTAAAATCAAACCCGAGATAGAGTTTCAAGCTAGCCGAGGTAAACAAAGAGAGAGGTGTTAACAAGAGTTAGAACAATTTTGAAGGTGGTTTATTTTTATTTGGGAAAGAGCGTCTGCATTTTTGTTAATGCAACCGGGTTTATTTCGATTTATAATTTCGTACTCGTATTCTTCGAGTTTTAGGCGCCAGCGTGCTAGACGGCTGCCAGGGTCTTTAATTGAGAAAAGCCAAGTTAGAGGCCTGTGGTCGATTATCAGTTTAAATTTTCTTCCAAATATGTAAGGACGGAAATGTTTTACAACCCATACGATGGCTAAGAGTTCACGTTCTATGGTGGAGTATTTAGTTTCAGCTTTGCAGAGTGTTCTTGAGGCAAAGGCTATTGGAAGGTCTTTTCCTACGGGACCTTGGGAGAGGACAGCACCAATAGCAAAGGCACTTGCATCAGTGGTGAGTATGAAAGTTTCATCGAAGTTTGGGTAGATAAGAATTGGAGTCGAAATGAGTGTTTGTTTTAATTCGTCAAAAGATTTTTTGCATTCAGAGTCAAAATTGAAGGGGACATCTTTCTGTAATAATTTAGTGAGAGGTTTGGATAGTTTAGCAAAATTAATCTTCGGTAGTAGCCTGCAAGTCCAAGAAAGGATTTGATCTCTTTTTGATTAATAGGCTGAGGAAAATTTTGGATACAAGATATTGTTTCGGGGTTAGGTTTTACACCTTCTTTCGTAATGAGATGCCCTAGGTAAGCGATTTCCTTGTGAAGAAATTCGCACTTATCTGGCTGGATTTTTAGGTTGGCATTGCGAAGACGTTTAAACACTTCTGTGAGACGGGAAATGTGTTCGTGGATGGTTGGAGAATATATAATAATATCGTCCATGTACACGAGACATCTTTCATTTTGGATTCCTAAAAGAATGTTGTCCATTACCCTCTGAGTAGAAGGTGCGTTTTTTAGCCCAAATGGCATACGAACGAATTCGTAGTGGCCATTGTCTACACTAGATGCGGTTTTTGGGATATCCTTTGGATCTATTTCGATCTGGTGAAACCCAGACGCCAAATCTATTGTCGTGAAGTATTGACACTTGCCTAGCTGGTCTAGAAGGTCAGAAATATTCGGCAGGGGGTACTTGTCTCCTACAGTCAACTCGTTCAGTTTCCTATAGTCAACAACGACTCGCCATTTCTTGCTGGCCAGAAGCGTCAAGCTTTTTTGGAACGACCCACACTGGGTAGGACCAGGGAGAGATCGAGGGGCGAATGATATTTTGCTCATTGCTCAATAAGAAGTGGATCTTATTTGTGGAAGGGCGAAACGGGCGGTGACTATGAGAGGCCTTCATTATAGCCATCCTTCTCTATCGCATGGATTTCTATGGCTTACTTTATCGCTCTCACGTAATTTCAGATAGACCATCGGTACCTTCCTACACTGTATATATATATAAAACTCAAATTTCCGATTACTGTTTCGATCTTTTTAAAAAAATATTTTGGAAATTAAATTTTATTGTAGAATGATAATTACAGTATCAGATTCTAATGCAGACTACTCTAAACGGCTATTGCCGTCCACTTATCCAAAATTGATGACACAGCGTTCCTAAGCTGTCCAGCTCATGTTAGGAATGTCGATGCTCCCATTTCCCCAATTCTACAGGTAGTTGACCCTATATAACTCTTCCACCCTCAGAATGAAGCATCCCCTGGGAGGCTGATTTTATTTTCTTCTTTGCCTTTGTCTTGATTTGATTTATTTTCTTTGCCCTTATTCTTCTTTGTTGCCCTTTTGTTCCTCCATTTTATACAGATGTATACAGCAGTGGTTGCTAGTAAAATATACAGGATGATGGTCCAAAGACTTGGCAAGTGATATTTGTGAATTTCTTCTTCATTTTCGATCGGCATCATAGGATCGGTAGGTAACTCTTTAAGATTTAGTTTATTTAGTTCCACTTTAAATTTGGGACGAGTATGAACTTTTGACTGAAGATGAACTGTATTAACTATGAGTGGTTTACCATAACTTGTTTCTTGAAAATTTAATTTTCGTCCTTTGAATACTAAGTTACAGGAGTCTTTCTTAATTAGGTAGATACCTGTAAGTGATATAGTTTCAATCGATTTTTGACATTGGGCTTCGATTTTCTCTTCTTTTGGAAATACAGCCAAATATTGGTTAATTTCGGGTACAGTTTCGATGTGATTTTCATCGATTTTTAATCGAATGAAACGGCAACCGCTAGAGTTTTGATTNATATATATATATATAATAAACTAGATAAAAATTCAAAGATTCGATCTGGTTTTTCTCTTTTTCTCTTATTATGGTTTTCACGATAACTCAGTTCTCCGTCGAGATACAGATTTGTTTTGTTATTTTTTGTTTCTCTTCCGACGGTCTACAATTCAAATCCTATAAACTTTTCACCGTTGTTACTTGTTGAGATATACAGGGTGTCCCGTTCATGTTTGTGTGCATGTTCCTAATGGGAAAATAATGGGGGTAGTTCATGTACCGTTGTTTTCTCAGACGCCCTGTTTTCGAGATACAGTGTGTTGAAGTTGTGAGTTCCCAAATAGTTTTCCTTAATTATCTTTAAATCGGCTAATGATAAAAATGTCAAAATTTGTACACGAGTATACATCAACTGTGCGTTAAGAATAATGTGCAAACGGCTTCTTTCTGAAAAGCATTGTCGCCAATAAAGGTAATTGAAGGGGTACACTCCAATGTTAAAAGTCAAAATTTATTACATTTCTGAACGGTTCTGTAAACTCTAAAGCATACTACAAAAAAAAAGGTATACTTGTCGAATTCGGTAGCATGTACCATTTTCCATGTACCATGTTTTTGCTGTGCTTCTCACCGCCATATAGAGCAATGAGAAATCGTTCTCCCGTGGATGTAAGAACCTCCGGATCGACGTGTTCTCGTTTGAATAATTCAACCGATGAAAGGAGTTTTTCCAATATGCTGATGAATTTCGATTGGCCGATGCTGAACAAAGATGAGGTGATATCGCAACCGATGCATGAATGAAAAATATCTTTTCGAGAACGGATTTATTATGCTTCATACTAGTTGGAGAGTAAAGTGTTCCTGGTGTATTTCCTTTTCCCGATTTTCGAAAGTATACTTTTGTTTTGTCCTTCGCTAGTCAGTGAACAAAATCAAGAGATCGATGTGCTTGCCGACGATTTCAACCGAATCGTACTTTGATGCTTCTGCTTTGATAATATACACTTTTTCGATCAGTATTTAGGAAAAAGAGAAAAACCAGATCGTATCTTTGAATTTTTATATATTTTGTTCGATATCTCAACAACCAACAATAATAGGTGAAATGTTTATAGAACCTAAATTATAGATCGTCGAAAGAGGAACAAAAAACAACAAAACAACAATTCTGTATTCTCGACGGGGAACCGAGTTATAGCTAAAACAAAAATTCACCCCTTTTTCCAAGATGGCGGAAAATGCACATAGAAAATCTTGGTGTCAAATCTCAAGTTAAGCTTTTCTAAGCACCCTCCACAACATATAAAAAATTTGGCTTTCCCGATTCACTTTCTTTTCCAAATGTACAGAATGACTGGACTATAAGGGATTCCAGTTTTGTATCCTTACCCAATTTTTGAAGTAGACATTTTACGGACCTTTCTATGATTTTTGCGGCTTTTATTTTTTCTGTCGAGTCTAGCCCGAATAAACAGCAATTTTCTACTTTAGTAGCTTCAGTAATCTCCTTTACGGAACGGTCCAGAGTTGGGCTAATGCTTGCTTATCTAGCTTCTGATATTTCGTAAAAGTTGTTGGCAATCATTTTTCCTATGTCTCCTAGTATTGATAAGATTTTGTTTCTTGTGGTTTTGCTATTCATCGTTTTTCAATAGCTTTTGCTAGAGCGGCGAGACCAAACCCTAGATTTGACTGTCTGTTTTTCCTCTTCCAACTTAGCATGAGTTATACAATTTTGAATATCCTACTCCAGTAAAATGGCTGCTCGCTTTGGTAGCTGACGGAGTTCACTTGCTACATACTTGCCAAACAGATCATATGGTTTATCCACAGCAGCACTGTTTGTAATGTCGTCTAACTTCTTGATTGCTTGGGATATCTCCCCATTGTCGGATTTACCAGTTTCTACATTTTTTCTAAAACTTTTTCTTGGCGGCTCAGGTGGCTTAAAAAATCCAGATGAGTGGGCCGTGTTTGTTTCAACAGTGGAGTTGTTCGCGATGCCAGGCACAGCAGGGTCAATGGTGCCGCCTCCCTCTTCATCTTCTGAATTTTGACTGGTTTAGGTCCTGAAAAAGGGACAAAAATGAATAATAATGTATATTTTATGTTTTATTCATTAAAACATAATAGGTACCTACTTAAAAATAATCTTTTCCTTTCAGGTACCAAAAATTGTTGAAGATTGGAAAGAAATTGAAAAGCTATTCCTCCAGCGCTGGAATTTCCCTAGATGCTGTGGGACGATTGATGGTAAACACGTTGTCATCAAGAGACCTCCCTGTTCAGGTTCATTATACTACAATTACAAGAAAATTATCATACTATTTGCTATGGTTGATGCAGATTATTGCTTCACTTGTAGGAGGAAATGGCCGAGCAAGTGACAGTGCAGTATTTAGAGATAGTAATCTGAACATTGCAATGGAAAATAGAACCATTGTGTTTCCTGAGACCCGATCTTATGAAGCCTTTCAGTAAGCATGGACTAAGTGATGAAGAAACAATATTCAATTATCGTCTTTCCCATGCCAGACGAGTGTCAGAGAATGCTTTTGGCTACTTGCCTTGCGATTTAGAGTGTTTACAAGACCAATTGAATTGAAACCCGATACTATCGATAGAATTGTTTGGGCTACTTGCAGTTTGCATTAACTGGCTGCGAAAGACTGCCCCAAGCCACTATATGTCACAACAAGCAGTGGACAGAGAAGATTTTAACACAGGAGAACACCTGGTGAATGGAGACAAAATTCCAACATCCATTGACCAGACTAGGCAGCAACAATGTAAGCCAAATCGCTAAAGGGATCACACAAGCGTACATGACGTACTTCACAGAAGAAAATACTCTGCCGTGGCAATGGGAAAACTTGGACTTAGAAAGGCATAGACAATGTTTTAAAAACATAATATGCATCTGTGATGTATTATATTAACAATTCATTAAATTTACTTACCAAATTTGACGTACTGCTTCTTGTTGTCACAACCTCACTCAAATAAGTAGCATCCTTAAACCAGGATAAGTTTGGTACATAAACTTCATCAATTCCACAGCCACTCTTTGCTTTTTAAATTTTTTGTAATTCCGTTTTGTAGACATCTTTAATGGACTTGATTTTAGACTTAAGCAGCTTCGCATCCATTTCGCCTAACAACTGATTTTCTTTCAGCTCAAACATAACTCGTTTAAAACTCGCATCCCTCAACGATTTGTTGCTGTAGCCTTTATCTTTAATGTTCCCCAATGTAGGAAATTGTTGGTACACTTGTAACAACAATGAAATATTACTCGTGTTACACTTCATTTTCACAACAGGATCTAGGTAGGACACTGTAGGGAAACCATCACCAGTTTAGCAAATTTTCACATAACAACCTAACAGCAGACAACACGTGGCTTCCACACGCCACCTAGTTGGCTACTGAGCAAGTAGGAAAGTGGAAAGTGGACAACTAGTGTTCAGATTTGTAATATTAATATTTGTAATATTAATCAAATTAGTAACGAAAAAAAAAGAGTGTTTTTAGAGAAATGTCAATTGGAATACATCAAATTTGTATTTTTACGCTTTAAGCGTGATTTATGTTTTTTTAAATAAAGAATATTAAAAGATAATTGGTGGAAAGTATTTAGTTATCTCCACAAAACTATTGATAGCAGAGCAAAGTAGTGGAAAGGTATTTGGTTAGCTCCACGAAAACATTGGTAGCAGAGCGTGGTTTTGCTGTTTGTTGTGGTGGCTAGAAGAAGGTACCACTGGTGGAAGAAAAACGTAAGTCTAAGCGGCGTCCCCTGAACGTGACCGGCCGAGGCAGACATATCTGTGGCATACGTTGGACGCTGAGAGGAGACGAAGGTGCTGGTGTGTACTAGCGTTAAGGATCTAGAAGGGGACCAGGCAAGCAGCTAGCATCCAAAAAAGAGTATAGACGGCGGCGGCGCGAGAAGAAACGAGGTAAACTGTAGCAGTCCTCTGCAGGTTGGTCGGCCCGGCTCCTGTGTTGGCATATCCTTGCGTCGCGGTCTAGATAAAGGTTGAATTTGCTAAAGTAAAATAATTACGTTGTTAAATAATTAAAAGGAAATGGATTTGGCTCAGTTAGTTAAAAAGAGAGGTACTTGTAAAGCTAAATTGACTTTATTTGCAAAGTTTGTTGCTGGTTTAAATGCCAAAAAAGAATTAGGTGAAGTAGATTTAATAGAGTTAGAGGAAAGGATCACAGCAATAGAAAATTGTAATATAAATTTTGATCAGTTTCAATCTGAATTAGAGGAATATACTGACGATCCTAATGAGTTGGGAAACCACCTAAAAGAAAGAGAGTTATTTGAAAATAGCTACTTTTCAAATATGTCATTGGCACGAAAAATTATAAATTGTCATAATCGATCCCCCCAAGTCCCTCCTTCTCAAGGTACTCTTGGTCAGTCACATGACAGCACAAATTATCAACTATCAAATGTACGTTTACCGACAATTTCCTTGCCTAAGTATAGCGGTTCATATCATAATTGGCTTGAATTTCGTGACACTTTTCAATCATTAATACATAAAAAT